TCTCTTTACAATCCTTTTACTTAGTCCTCCGGAAATGCAACAAGGAAGTAGTTCAAATATTAGAATGAAATGTTATTAATATACAATCTGCGATCATATATCTACATCTGTCATGCTCTGTAGGGGATCCAAATTTCTACCCTATATATATATATCAACATTCCTTTTAAATCGTGTTCTACAAACTATTAATTTGAAAAAAAATTTTTTTTTGAAATATTCTAGAAGAATCTGAATTAAGTACTGATGATATATTTTGGTCAAAACATGATGAAGATCAGCAACAACAGCAACAACAACAACAATTTCAAGCTTCAATTTATCCAACATTACCTAAATTAACAAGTCCACCATCAGTACAACAAAAAACATTAACACCATCAACACCTATACAACAAATTACAACACCAAATAGTTTAATGAAATCAAGTCCATCAAGTATTGGTACATTACGTGCACGTGCGCATAATTTTATATCAAGAAATATTCTTATACCAGAAACATGCTGTGTTGTATGTACTAAAAATAAAATGACTTTCTTTTTTTGCATGAATTTAATTAATTGATTTTGTCTAGTGTTTGAAACGAATTCATTTTGGTAAATTAGCTTATCGTTGTCAAGCATGCAGTGCTCTGTGTCATACGGGCTGCAAAGAAAATTGTGCTACACTTTGTTTACCTAGTGTTAAAACACCAAATCGTGGTGCTGTATCGAAATTTACACCACGTGAATCAAATCAATTACAAGTACCTGCTTTACTTGTACATTGTATTAAAGAAATTGAACAACGTGGTTTACAAGAAGTTGGAATCTATCGGTTGAATGTGTACGTATATATATACATATATTTAGTAATTACAAATGAAGAAATTTTTATTAGAGAATAAAAAAAAATATTAACGACAGTTCGTTATGATTTCAAATCTTGAAAGAAAATTAATGTTCACCTATTTCCCCTTTTATTAATACACTAATTATTATGAATACTATTCTATGTCAAAAATAGATAGGTAATGATAATAATAATCAAGGCATATTCCGACAGTGATAATAATAGATAGTAATATTTAAAAAAATACCGATCACTACCATAGTTTTGTCATACAGTCATCGGTTGCTCATGTGACAAATATTGACATATTTTTCTATAAGAAAAGAACTACTTTTCATTGCAATCGAGCAACGTGTGAATTAAATGGATGGCATCTCTCCGGACGACAAAATCTCGATAAAACATTTCAGTTGAGTTCTCAAAAGATTACAGTTCAATTGCAATAGCTTTTTTATCACTAAATTTATTGTCCAAAACAATTGCGAATCATCTTATTTCTTAATTTATTCATTTTTTTTTTTGAGATACCTTCAATGATTACATGGTCTATACTAGTTTCTCTATATTTTATACTGATTCTATACATTTCTTCAAATGACGTCGAGATGTCCCGAGCCTTCTGAATCATAGATTCCATCACTCCTGCCAAACTTGGAATACCCTCGAGACGAAGACATATGGTACCTTTATACTCTTAAATATGTAAAAGTATAGTGTTTATTTCTCGAATAATTTTCATCAAATAATAAAATAATCTAAAAAACTCTATATTAAATAAAATCATATTTCAGTGTTGAAGGTCAAGTAAAAGAACTTAAAGAACGTATACTTAAATCACGTACAGGTTTATTTGATTTATCACATTATAATGATATACATTTAATTTGTGGTGTGGTAAAAGATTTTCTTCGTTCATTATCTGAATCATTACTTACAAATGCATTATGGAAATCATTTGCAGCTATTATTGATGAAGAATCTGATTTTATAAAACAACAAAATTTTGACTCACTTATACAACAATTACCTAAACCAAATCGTGATACATTAGCATTTATGATTCTTCATTTACAACGTGTTGCTGTATCACCATTATGTCGAATGCCTATACTTAATTTAAGTCGAACAATGGTAAATATATTTATTGTACGAAGAAAAAAATTAATCATTTTATTTATATAATAGGGTCCAGCTATAATTGGTTATTCATCAAAACATGTATCTGGTATTGATATTGTTGGTGAAACATATAAACAAACAAAAATCTTAGAATTTTTTCTTAAAATGTCATCTGATTATTGGTCAAAATTTTTAATTGAAAATGATATTAATGAACCATCAGCACCAATTAATAAACAACAAATTGGTACACCTATTCTAACACGTCATCATCATTATCGAAATACACCTCCGACAGCTTATCCAACACCAGCAAATACATTTTTTTCTCCACTTTAAAAATAATCTATTCGAAAAATTATTATAAATAAACCTCGATCTTTTTTTTTTTTACTTATCTTTATTGTTAAAATTCCTTATTGTTCATTCTATTCTTTCCCCCGAAATGTGAGCGTTTCTTGTCTTGTAGATTTTTTTTTTGTCTTATTTGGATGTGCGTATATATTATATTAGATAATTCACGAAATAAAACAAATCATATGGGTAGAAAAAAAAATAACAAGATAATCTTTATAATGATGGCAAATTGAGTCAAACAAGATAATTCATGATCTTGAAAATAAGTGCAGAAATAACATCGTTAATTTAATTTTCGATGATAATATTTACAGTAATAATATATAGTGTGTGTGACAGGAAAACACATTCATCAGAGTATATTTTCCATTACGAAAACAAATCAGAAGAAATCTTGTAATTTGATTATTGATTTGTATCATTATAAGAACTCTTCATCATATGCAAATATTTTTTATTATTAACAAAGATAGATATAGTACAAACAAAAGCAAAAGATTGAACAGCAAATAAGTCGATCGAACCAATCATTTTGAAGATATTATTGAGAGTTTTCAATATCACATGAGTAGTTAATCCGAATAAAACATGTAAGAGAACTAAGGAGTGATTAGTTTGTTTATAGGAGTCATCCGTAAAGAACATCTAGATACTTACTAGGAATATTTTTTGTTTTTTTTCCAAACAACTTTCAGCGACGTTTTAAACGTAAGCTTTTTTCAAAGAACATGTTTGAATAGGAAATGAAGTGAAGGAAGCAGTTGAATAGGAATATGGAGTTGAAATAATTGGAGATTATGCTACATGAACAGATAGTATTGATAGTGAACTTCGATTTTTATTTTTTAACTATTTTCTGCTCATTAAAATTGAATGTATTTAAAAACCAAAAACTACAATGGGTTATGTTTTTTGTTTGTTGTTTATGAAATGTGTGCTTTTATTTCTATCTTTGATATATTTATTGAATGATCTATTGGATGACGTACTTTTCGTCTTAAGCCATTCTGAACTCCGGACATATGTCCGGGTGTTTGGAAATGAATTTTTGTCCTTAAAAACTTATGATCGAAGTTCGAAAACATTTTTGTACGAAAGATCGTAATAGAAAAGCAGGGAAATCAGAATGATGTGACCGAATGTTCGGAATAGAATGTTTCTTGCTACATCTGATGTAGTGATTGGAGATTGTAATGAACAAGATCGGATGTTCGGAATGTATATCTAACGGTATTTTTGCAAAGAGAAGACCGAAAGAATTGAATAAGATTGGCAGAAAGTTCATAAAAGAATTTACTAGGAGATCGTAATCGATATAAAGACTTTTCTTTTTGTTTTTTATAAACAAGAATAGAAATCATTTACCTGTTACATCCATAATTATATGAATAAGCGTTTTTGTTTCTCTATATCTACTCTCTATACTTTAGTAAATATAAAAGTTGTTTCTAATTTTCGTCTTTTAATCTATTCTAAAAATGTCAATATATAGCAGTAGTCGCTATAAAGATGAAACATTATAAAGTATTTATTGTACTCGTTCTTAGCTGTTAGAGAAAGAAAACGTGATGATGTTGTACATTCACGCTACAGTTATGAATAAATATTTATTTATTTTTTCCAAAAACTTGGTATTTGTAACGGAGAGCATGTAAAAAATAATGAGAATAAAAACTAACATTAGAATTAGAATCGCAAAAAAAAGAACAATCTTACTGCTTGAGTTCATCGAAACGTTCTTTAGGTACCCGCTTAGACTGTAAGAAAGCATGTTACTTCACGTTCTCCCAAAGGTGAGGAAGCCTCAACAAAGCTACGAACATCCTACCCTTTTCATTCCGAACATCCTATAGTTTTCATTACGATCCCTTTTCTTTGTAATTCTGATCTCCAATCAAAATTTTGCTGTTCAACCATTAACAATGGGTTGCCACAGTTTGTAACGAACTCTTGGGCAGATTTTATTCTGAACATCCTGTTTTTTACTGTATTTCATTGTCTTTTACCATTAAGAACTCCATTCCAAACATCTTGTCTTTTTTCGTATGTTCGGAGATCGTAATGGATTATTTCAACTGGAGTTCATAATGAAAAAGTGAAACGAAAAGTCACTTTCCAACTAAGGTTATACAGTCCGATATGTGACAATTTATCATTCTATACTTCCAATTTTTGGCAGTATCTCTGCTGCCATTTTTTGAAATCAAACGGGGTCAACCTAAATTTTTTATATATTGTGTAATTCTTGATTCTCTACAAAATCGTTGAAAACATACTGAGAAAAAAAGTTTACCTTTGAGATAATATGAGACTTACACTGTCAGTAGCCAAGTAAGCAGTCTCAGGGAAAACGAGTTTGGGAACGTTCCAATGTCTATCATTCATGAAAATTTTTATCTCGAAGAATCTAGGACTTCATCCTGGTTAAAATGACCTAGACAATTCTCTTGAAAAAAGAAAAAGATCTTCAATTTCTCCTATACCCCTGAGGGGAACTAGGAGAATTTTGAGAAAAATGGTTTTTTTGGTGCAACGGAATAATGATAATGTAATTCGATAATGGTATCATAAACTGTCTTATTGAAAACCTTTCAGGATAATCTCTATAAAATTCAAATACACAAGGCGATGGAACCATTTTATAATAAAGGAAAACTTCTCTGTTACATCTGTCTTGTCTATCATTATTCTTTAAAGTGCGGAAAGAGATTCAACTTTTTGACTAAAGACTTTTATATATGCTAGGTATCGGGTGTATAAGCGTGGGTGCGGGTGCGCATGTTCTAAAAGAGATATCCACACCCACCGTGATGTCGGTGTTGTTATCTGTTGATTTATTAAACTAGTTTGATGTTCATCAGTTGCTATTGATGATATAGCATCTTGTAATGAATCAATCAATGGCGTTGATGATGTACGTTTATTAAGAACTGTTGTAGACGAATTTATTTTACGTTTTTTTGATATTGATGAACCATGATTAGTTTTTGATGTTGATATAGGTACAAGTGCAGGTGTTGTTAATGATGAATTACTATTATTGTTCATTGTATTTATATTATTTAATGATGTTAAATTTCCATTTGAATATTCTTTAAGAAATTCTTCAATATTTTCATCTAAATATGGTTCATGTCCTTCAATTTAAATAATATCATATTACCTTGTGCATAAAATTTTGACATCCATTTATGACTTTGAACATCAATTACCCAGGCAGAGAAACTTTTGAGAAAACGCGTTGAAACGCACATAAATTGGCCTAAAATTAGCAAAAAGTGGACGTTTTTGGCTCACATCTGAGGTTCCCGACTGTGAGCCAAAAACGCTCTTTTTCCGCCCTTTTTGCGACTTTGAATGGGTGTTTTCAGATCAAAAAGCGCGTTTACACGCATACAAAAAAAGAAAAAGTGGTCATTTTTTCATACTCGAGATGCACGTCATGATTACAGTCACGTTTCTTGAGCACGAAAAACACAACAACTTTTTTCTCTTTTTTGTGTGCGTGTAAACGCGTTGTTTGTCTGAAAATGCGTTCCAACGCACAAAAAGGGCGAAAAATGGGCGTTTTTGGACCACAGTCGGGAACCTCAAGTGTGAGTCAAAAACGTCCACTTTTTGCTGATTTTAGGCCAATTTCTGTGTGTTTAAACGCGTTTTCTCAAAAGTTTGTCTGCTTAGGTACTTTCGCACGTTGTGCTGGATCACGAATTAAAATTCAATGAAGAAGATTAAGTATTATCATATTGTCAATTTTTTTCCATGGATTATGACAATGCGAACCAGCTAACCAACGTTTATATTCAATATCTTCATTAGATAGTTGGTCCCATGGTAATTCTAAAACAAAATAAAATAGAAAAAATATTATAATAAATTTACCTCAAGTTAACATTGTTGTTAGAACAATACCACAAGACTAAACATCAGCAGATTCATCCCGATATGGTATTCTAGCATAGACCTAAAAGAAACTTTTTATTACATTGTATTCATCTTCGTTATAATTAATTTACTTCTGGTAATAAATAAAGTCGTGTACCATAATATGTGGTCAATATTTGTTCATCTTCTACTGTTTGATTACGAAAAAATGTTTCTAAACCGAAATCACAAATTTTGAGAATATCTAATTATAGAAAAGAAGAAATTTTTTTTATTAATTATTATTTTACCATTATTTGCAATGAGAATATTTTCTGGTTTAAGATCTAATAAAAATAAATAAATCTAATTAAATTATTCTCAAACCTCTATGTGCTACAACAAGACTATGAAGATAAGCCTGTTGTTACGGGCATTTCCCTCACAGTATATTTTTCTTTTTCTTTCTTCTTTCTTTTTTCCTGGATGTGATATCTAATTTGTTTTTTCGATGTGATACCTTCGATCAGATATCATCATTCCTTTTATTCTTTTCATTAAAACCCTCGATGTGTGTGATCATATTTAAATGCGCGTTTTTCCTTTTCTTTTTTAGTTCGTTATGTAGTTTAGTTGTTATGTGTGTGTGAGGACATTTTTGATTTAGTAAAAAATAAAGGAAAAGTTCAACTATCTTTTTCTCCTAATATCTTTAAAAAAAGTCTAATAAATTCTGTTTTTCTTTTAATCTATCTCAATCATTCCACAAACAACTTATTTAAAATAATGTTGTGCAAGGCATTCTGGATTTTCAGCATTAGATCCTAAGAAAGGAAAAAAATATACTTTTCTTTTTATTTTTCTATGATTAATCTCGAACCAATTTTCTTGAATAGTTCACCACCAGCAACATATTCAAGAAATAGATAATAAGTTGAATCGTCTTGTCCATAACTATAAAATTGAATTATATTTTCATGTTGAAATAATTTATGTACATTAATTTAAATGTTTTTTTTTGTTTTTCAAAAGAAAAGAAAACTAAGGAAATAATTAATATTTCGTCTTGTATGTCAATATTCTTTCCTTTTATCTTGTGAACCCTAGTGTTTATGCATCCTCTTGGAATGCAAATATAGGAATCTATAAAGAATACAATATTGTAAAAGTAATATTAAATACTAACTGATATCGTTGGGATGATATTATTCAAAAAACTATTTGAATCAGAAATTCAAAAATCTATTTCTTTTTGTCTGACATGAAATCTAGTCGTTTATTGTTCAATGTTCATTTCTATCGTCTATAAAAATTCATCAATTTATGCAAATCTCTCAGCACGAAATATCTTCGAATCTTAGACGACTAATAGAATTTCGTCGTTGTACGATAGAAATTTTCGTCGAAAAGAAAGAAAAAAAAATTATCAACGGAAATGCTTATTCCAGTAGAGTAAGTTCTTATTAAGTCCAAGCGAAAATATATCTATTCATAGGCAAATTGCATTTTTTATATATTTTAAATACAACTAGGATGCTATCTTTGATAAGGAAATGAAAATTTAACAAGTTATTAATGAGAAATGATTGCACTTAGTTTTAGATTCTTTCTACTTTGTTTTATATTATTAAGTTCAGAATGTACAAATAAAAAAAAAAAGTTAACAAAAAATCTTCCTCTTCAGAAAAATATCAGACGGAAGGTCTTACTTTTCTATTTCATATTTTTGTTGCAAAATGTTGCGATGTTTCAAAAATTTCCTCAATGAAATTTATTGATAAGCATAGTATCTTAATTATATGGGGAGTAATAAGTAAAAATCGCATTCTTCAATACTTTTCGACATGAACGAAAAATAAAAATCATCTGGCTAACATTCGAGAAGTCGTTCTTGTCTTTTTACATATTCTCAGCTGATTACAGTCAAAACATAAAAAAGATAAATTAAATTACTAAGGAACGACGATTGATGTGGTGCAAGAAAACCACTATTAAAGCTAGAACTACATATGGTGATGCTTATTGAAAAATGTCATGCATCTACGCTATACCACATATGGATACTATCGAAATATCAAGCCAGGAGCAAAATAATTAATTACGTATGTGAGCAGAATACTGATCAGAAAGGTCATAATTGATCAATGAAACACGATACCAATGCAACGAACAAAAATCGAACGATTAGTTGTAGATAAATCTTCGCATAATTATCTTCAATTATAAGGTCATTCCATGTCTTCCTACTTATGTAATTAGTATACAAGACAACGCAAAGCTTGTCTACTTGAAAACTTATACAAGTATAAGTCAAGATGTGACTTGTTACAATGTAAAAATGTTGCTAATTAGTTTTTTTCTGCATTCATTCCTCTTTCACAAACGATTTGTCTTTTACATGGCCCCATCCTTACATATTTTGTATCTTAGTCGTTTTTGATCAATTTTTCTGAGCTATCGTTTTTTTTTATGCAAGTCCTCAGCTTTCTTTCTCATGCTGTACTCTACAAACTTCGTGTAAAGTAGTTTTGCATATTGCAATTCAAATGAAGACAGTACAATTCATGTTTTCTTAAAAGTATATACCTTTCTGTTTTTACAAACTTCGGCGAATGACCATAAAATAAAGGCGAAATGCCGAATCGCTTACTATTATTCATTTTATAATACAATGAAAAATCAAAGTCACGCTCAATCACCATGTTATACTCATCATTAAATATATACGATCACTCTCATCACTTTTCCCCTTCCAGTAGCCCAGAGTTAATCACAATTTGACATATTCTAGTGCTTTGTATTGATAAGCTCTATATGAAGAGATAATTGTGCGGAAATATCGTTTCATTATGATTCATATGAGAAGAATTCCATATCGTCTTTTTTTTACTTCTTTAGAATAAACAAAAAATCAAAAACTCACGAGACCTTTAGTGAAAAAATTTTGTTCAATGATCATTACAGCTGACGACAGAATCAATCATTTCTATTGACCATCAGTAAGGGAAAAAGCAAAACAAAAAGACATTACCGTCATTATCAATAGGCAATCGAAAACAGAAATGCCCCATAAATCTAAGAAAAAAAGAACAAAAAAATTCTCTGAAGCCAATCAAATAAAACAATCGACAAATGCTTTTTTTTTCTTTTATTTATGTTTGCAACATTTCAATGAAATACTTTTGGAAAAATTTTATACAGACATAAACTTTTTTTTTTTCGTATGTTATTAATATTTTAGGAAAAATGTGAGTATAATTTATCAAGTAAAAAAATATCTTTGAACAATATTTTTGCAAGTTTTTCTTAACATGAGAAATTTCTTTTACAAAAGATGTTTTTCTTAATAATAAATAAATTCTATTCTATGAATATGACCTGTTTGATTTGAATAATACGTTGTATAGAAAGATATTTTATTGTGATACTTTCCTATGAATGCTTCTCAGTCAAGAAAAACAAAAAAGCAGATCGAAAATCTATGGATCTTAGCGAATTTTACTCTATCTGTTATAGATTCTTCTATATCCTGTATTCAATTTTTGTCTCATAACTCGTCAGTTTTTCTTTTAGAAATCGACATGATAATAAGCTTTTTTCAATAGAGTAAAATTATATTAATTTCATTAGGAAGCTAATTTTTTTTTATCGGTCGAAATATGATATTTGAATTTGCTTAATACAATAATGGTACATACGAACATTAATAGTTAAACATAAAAATCTTCTGAGTTTTATCACTAATGTGAGTAACAATCATTCTTTTCATCTTCTTAATATGATAATCATTAGTAAGCTGAATGCAAATTTTACACTAGATCGGTTTTTATATAGAATAATAAAAAAAAAGATTTTTTTTGTCAAAAATTTTTGATTCTACTAGACTAATTATGGTTAGCATTGATGAATTAAAATATTTAATCTGTTATGTGATAAATTATATAATCTCTGACATACATTTAATAAAAGTTTTCTTTGTCTTTTCCTAAAATAAGAAACATGTACACTCGATTATCAGGACTGATTAGATGACGTTTAGTTGCTGCCAATGGAAAAAATCACGACTCCAATATTTTTTCTTAAGTTACTATCACAAAAGATTTTTTCCATTTCTAATATTATTGTTGAGATGTTTTTGTTTTGAGATTCAAATATTTATTAGTGAAAAAAAAATTGATTCTAAAAAAATCAGAGTTGGCAATATTCATTCGTCCATCGTGTTGTTAACAATGCACTCAACTGTAAATATATATAGTTTCGAGCCAGTTCATATCAATTTCGTATTTGAAATAGGTTTTTGAGTTATAAAACTATCATAAGTGTTTAATAGTTGTAGTTCAGCTCAAGAAACTGAAAGTTTTCGAATAGTTCGTATTCATTTAAATTGGAGTTATTTACTAGCTTCTTTTAACTGAACTAGGGTTAGTCAGATCGATAATTGATTAGTTAGTTTGTACTACGTTAATGGACTTCGAGTGTACTTTAACTTATTTTGAGTTACTTCAAGCTATTTTCAACTTCTTTGAACTACTTTGAGTTGCATTAAACTAATTACTTTAAAAAGCTTCCAGTTTGTTGAAGCTACTTCAAAGTTTTATGATATAACTACTATCACACATTCTAAATATCGTGATTATAGGTTACCAGTCAAACTGTGAGTAGTGCATACTTTTAAATACAAATTATTGTATTATAGAAATACTCAGAGCATACTAAAAGTAATAGCAGAGAAATTTTAATTTCTTAATAAAAAGAACTTTTTCTTTATATAGAATATAATAGTAAAAACAGTGCTCTATATTTCTTTGATGTTTAAAATAATTCTTCCACTAATATTATAATAATAGAATTTCGATGAGAACTATTTATTATGATTTATGATGGTAATATTAGATCAAATTTTTTTCTGCAATGTGTCTTCTCTTCTAGTTGTTTTTCTTCTCTCGTTTTTTTTGCGTCGTCTCTAATGCCTAACTGTTTATACATATCACAATATAGAAAAAGTAATGGCGCTAGAGTAGAAAAACAAATACAGAAATAAGTTCGCCAAGTATTTACTTAAATACGTCTTCGAATCTGATACCACGTGAATATTTTTATTTATTCAATTTAATCAAACAATATCGAAGTGATCACAATGATTTTAAACTGTTGCATTATGTTGTAAACAAGTCGATATATTGTTTGAATAAAAAAAAGTACAAAGAAACATGTGACAAATGGATTCAATGAAGGCTGTTGGGTATGAATAATAACTAGAACGAGTATTTCGAACATCTAATAATACAAAGACTAGATGAACTTGTTTCTGTATTTGTTCTTCTATTCTCTCGCCAACATTTTAATCTATATTCTACTATGTATAGACATCTAGGCATCAGAAGAGACAAAAAACAACGAGGGAAGAAGAACATTAAGAAGAGGAGACATCGAAAAAAAAAAGTGATCTAATATTACCATCACAAATAGCTCTTATCAAAATTTTATTATTATAATATTATTTGAAGAGTGATCAAATATCAGAAAAATATAGAGAAATATCTTTACTATAAGACTATATAGAAAGAAAGTTCTTCTTATAAGGAATTAAAATACTTCCACCACTATTTTTAGTATGCTATAAGTATTTTAAAAAATATAAAAGGAGAAACATAGAGGATCTTAGAGAGAGAGAGAGAGAACATCGCACTTCAAATAGAAAAGTATTTTAAAATATGTCGATGTAAATGAAATTACTTCTTCAATTTTGAACTGCTTTTGTATTGTTTTTGACTTGATTTCCGATTTGAATGATGTTGTTTCTTTTGCTCTAGGTAATTGCACATAAAGTATTCATAAATAATTATCACTACTTATTAAGAATCAATGAGTACTAAGTGAGTAATTAAATTATTGATTTATTCATGACTAGATCTATCGAAATAACATCGAAACAGTTCAAAAGAACTAATCAATGAGGTTAATCAGTTCTTTTGAGCTATGAATTTCCACATTCCTAAGCAGAAACAATACTTTTATTTTTCGACTTAAAAATAAACAATATATTGAAATGAAATTTTTTTTTTTTGTTGTAGAAGTTATCAATTGTTATAATGAAATGAAAACAGGTTTCTTTTTTTCTCGAAAATTATCACAGTGTAAAAATTCAAATTTCAATACAACTAAATAAGTTTCATTTATAGTTTCAAAAACATCTTTATATTAGATATTAAAAATAATCTTAATAAAATGTTTTGTTTTTGTAAATATTAGATATAGAACATACAAAATAGTGTCGAATCGACACAAGAGAAAGTACATGAGTAATGCGTATCTCAATCTGATAAGGATAGAATTAATATATATATATGTATTGGATGTTCTAAGATTTGTACTGTTTTAAGACATGGATTATCTTCTATTGACATTAGTACTGTTTCTAGATTTATGATATTCTTTAGGTATCTATATATTCAAATATCGAATCATTTATAAACGTCAATTTAGATAAAAAGGATTTATCTTATAGATAAGAAGTTCATATATTTAATGTAAAACTTAAATATCATTTTATGTTAAGTTTTATGAAGACTTTGTTTATATATAAATTTTGTGTTCAAATTATTTTAGTTGAATCAATACATGAATTTCTCAAATTAGAAAAAAAATGTATCTTTTTAAATTACAAACAGTTCTTTTTTTTTGTTCAGATTAACTTTCTATTTATTTCGTTTTTTGACTATATAATTATTCTTGATGAAAATAAATGGTATGTTATTAAAGATGAATTTTTATGTAATATAATTTGACCCATTGGAATTGACTTATATATATACAAATGAATGCTTATTTTTTTTTCTTGTTAATATTCTTCGCTTCTAATTCTTCCATTATTGAAAAAAAGTAGCTCTATAATTTAGAACTTAAATAAGTTATTAATTAGATCAGATGCAAAGGCGTTTTTATTGTTCTCATGGGAACCACTGATTGAATTATTATATATATTCTGAACGCATCTCAAGTTGAGATCAATTTTGAAAAATATTTAATTATTTATTCTAGACTTATAATTTATTGTAATATAAAAAAAAAAAAAAATATTGACTTTAAATGACAACTTCTTTTGGGGTATGTTTTTTCGTATTTTTTATCTCTTGAATAGTATTCTATATTAATTTCTATATTTGATATAAAAAAAAAGTAACGTGTTTAAATATTGTCTTAATGTAATGAATAGCGTCATACATAAAGACTATTAGTATAAAAAGAATTTTGTTACTTGGTTGCATGATAATAAAAATTTTCAATGTCACTTTTTTTTTGTTACTTATTAGTATTCAAATAAGGAGTGAAGATTAACTTAGTTCTTTTATGTTTAGCCACTAGGAAGAAAAAAAAGTCGTTTTGATGAATTTTTTTGTATTTTATATGTTGCACTAAAAAACCGAAGTGAGGCAATACGATCAATATTAAAATAATCAATGATGACAATTTCATGACGTACATTGATTGATCGATTCATTTTTTTTTTCATTGGCGTGAAATAAATTAGGTCAAAACAATTCAAGAACATGATTCTTTTTTTTCTTTAGACAATGATCTATGAAAGATCCGGAGAAAAATATTGTATGCCAAACTATCATTTTTGATGCGATACATTTAAATCTCTAGAGAGCGAACA